ATCGAAGAACCATGTACCTATTTATATTCGATAATTTTGATGTTTGATTAGATTTCCTTGAAAAAACTTGGACCAAATTGCCAGGCGAAACATTGGATTTACTTCACATTCATTCGTTGATATTTTACACACACATTCTTCTTCTTTAATATAAGACATTAAGTCCATGGCAGAAGAACAGGTTGTACCAATCTGTTTTGGACACACAATTCCGGTTTTCCCTGATGTATGGCTATTGCTTCGGTAATCAGCTTGAAAAGATAAGTGCATATATATTTGCGATTGTATAGCATTGAAAATGAATTTGCCGCAAAGGGAACTCTTCGCTGAACCCAACTTTCTCACTTAAAGTTTATTTATTATTGAAGTAAAAATTGTTGACTTGATTTATACTCCAGCACATTGTCATTAATAATTATTGAGTGTTGAAAACATTCTAAAGTAAAAAATATCTATATCATTATACAAGTTTACAGTTTTAGCAAAATAATTTGGAAATTCTTGTCGACTGAAATAAAAAGAACTTTTTTAAATATAACTGTTCAACAGTTAAATAAAGAGGTTAGACATTAATACCGTTGGATGCCAACTCAGTGTTTTAGAGGTTAAGCGTTCGCACGCCAGTGGGATCGTGGGTGCACACTTCTGAGTAGTCCTACAATAGGACGAAATGGCAGTCCAGTTCTTCCAGGTTTTCAGTGGTGGTCTAACATCAATCGGTTCATGATCTCAATCAAAAACTTAGTAATCTCCACAACCTTATACTAATAAATCAAGAAAATTAATTTTTAAAGCAATTAGTCCCTTTCATAAATTTCGATAAAGCAATTAGAAGATGGAATTGATCTGAAAATACGATATATTTGCACTAAACATTTCGAACAATCTGGTCACACATATACTTGTCAGGACATTTTTTATATGAAGCTTAATAAAGGTCAATTAAATGAAAGTTCAAGTAAAAACGGTAAGAAAGGGGAGAGAAACAGTTTTTACATCGTATAGAAAGAATAAGAAATTGTCGCATTATCTTAGACCATAAAATGTCTTAAGAATTACTAGAGTAAATTCAAGGTTACGGCAAATTGTTTTTGTACAAATAAGGGCGGTCTAAACTTACGAATAGCCAAAGCTTCAATAAATTGTGAATTCGGCCTAGACGATTTCTATACAACGTTTTAAAAACTATATTAATGTCAATTTTGTGCCACGTTTCAATTATATGCTTCGCTATCGATGAATCTAGTTTTCTACCTCCCACGTCGATCGGACCATTTGACACTAACTTGTTTTTAAGCTACCTAGGCATATGTTCAATGATCCTTAATTGCATTGTTCCATTACTCCTCCCTATGTATATGTGTCACACAAACATATAAATTGGTAAACACAATGGGATGAGGCGTAATCCTTTGTGGATTGTCCAGATCTATTTGGAATCATGAACTTAAACTTTTCAATCACAACCAATTAAGCAATATAATAAGTTTTCGCGATGGCTGCATTCAATCTGTCTTGAGACTATATTATTGAACTCACCACTATATGGTAGATAGATTTAAACGTTTTTTTGAGCCTAATAAACGAGAGATCATGGCGTTAGCTGACATTTGCATCTATTAATAAACTTTAGTAGATAACCAATTGATATTAATGTATCAGTCAGAATTTTTTCATCTTTTTCAATTGGTATCCATAGTGCAAATTCTTTGAATCCTATTAAAGGGACATTTAATCAAGCCTCGCTTATATTGAAATAGACGGAAACTATAAAAATTTAAGTATTGCCCTATCTAAGTTAGTTTTTAATAATATCACAAAAAATTTCAATTTCCTAATTAATAATGAAATTCTTTCTTTTTCGTCTGTGTGAAATGTATTTTATTTTCAGAAACAATTTAACAATTTCCTTTCGTACCCAAGTCATGATAAATTGATGATCAAATGAAAAAAAGGGTATAATATACCAAAATCTTTTCGGAACAGTTATGAAACCAAAAATAAATGAAAGAAAAAACAAGTTGGGTAATTTTACACAAAATATTTTAAAATTTACTCTAAATAGTAAAAATTTTAAATAATATTTAATAAACATTTATTTATTGTATCAATTTTACAAGTCTATTAATTACTCTGAGTTGAAATACTATGGGTTAAGATGGTGAAGAAGATTTGTAGCTCAAGTAGATGATTTCGATGGAGTTTTATTCTTTGAGTTCGATGGTTTGGTCGTGGAGCTTTCATCGTTTTTCTGAACGACATCATTAGCACAAACTTCAGATAGAAGTGAGATGCTCGAATTTCTCCATATATGGCTCATAACTTGTCTTGTAGATCTCGATGTTTAAGGTCCACAAGAAGCAATCAACATCGATATCAACAGGACAAGCTATGAGCCATATATGGAAAAATTCGAACACCTTACTTCTACTTGAAGTTTGTGCTGATGATGTCGTTCAGAAGAACGATGAAAGCTTCACGACTAAATCATCCATCTCAGAGAACAAAACCTTATCAAAACTATGGGCTAAAGATAAAGCTGAATATCTGAAAACCAATATGAACTAAACTTTGTTTTGAGTTATATTTACTTTTTACAAAGAGAAAACACTGTGTATTTTATATGAACTCATTTTTAACCGTTTTATTCTAACAACAACGTTATTGATTGTGTATTTAAAATGCGTTTTATTTATTTCTTGTAAAATATGCATAGAAATTAAAAGTCTTTTAATGTTAGAACACTGTTCAATCGAAATAATGAGATATTGTCATTTAAATAGTGGTTGGAGGTAGTCAATAGGAAACTCTAGACCCGGGTTTCGTTCTACTTGGCATTCGTCAACAAGGTGTACATGTAATCTTGAGGGAACTGGTGCTCCTTGATGAATTCGATCCCATGTCACCCGGATTCACAGTGATTACATCTCAGTCCTACAGGAGGTCGGTCACGGCCCGGGTAACCTAGTGGTAACGTCTCTGACTGTGAAGCCGGGTGACACGGGATCAAACCCGCCAGGGAGCACCACGTCCCTTAAGATTACAGGTACACCTTGCTGAATAGTGCCAAGTAGCACTAAACCTAGGTCGAGGGTTTCCTGTTGACTACCTCAAACCACCATCTAATTTCAACATAGTGCACACATTGTCGAGTCACCTAGATTAGTGACCACATTGCAACTTGATCGATGGCATTCGATCTGCACTAAGAAAGACTTGACACACATGACACTGATTACCATCCAATGATCAATCAATTGTGATATGATCATTTACCCTGATTTAAATGAATATAGTATTTTGTTAAGCTATTTTTATGTATGTCTTTTAGTATTTCAATGTATTTTTATTTTGCCATTATCAAACCGTAACATTAACATGGTTTTAAACTGCCTTATAAAGTTTCTTATTTTATTAGTCAGTGTGTTCAATTACTTTCATACAGAAATATTCGTTATTAAAGATCAAATGAACTGTTGATGTATCAGGTTTAGGTAAATGAGTTCGGAGAATTCAATTCATTGATTCAACTTAAATGGTTCATTTCATTTATCAATCGGTTAGATTTACAAAAATTAACACATTAACACATGTTTAACATACTTTAGATGATAAACTTTGGCTAGATTTTTAAAATGTAGTATTAAATTGAAAAAGGAAAATACTATGCATTTTATATTATAATAAATTTAATCATTGTTTATTTAAAGTCTATTTATCAAGGTACACAGTTGATTTTGTTTAAGATTTTTTATCACAAGCAACATAAATAGTAGTATATTGAAGAATCAAATTAACAAAAGACATTAAACTAGGTGTCCTACACAATCGTTGAAAATCTTGTTCTTAACCATGTTTTTTTAGTAATTGGATGTATCAAACAAATCTATTGGTTGATAAGCAGTTACAATTATAAATACTCTGTGTTTCAATTAAACTAACAGAAAGCATCCTTTAAGTTATCGGTTATGTTAAAATCTGCATATAGCTTAGATTGTACTTTTCAAGGCAACCAATGGACTACAACCGGGTTTGTTGTGAGATTGTAAATCACTAAAGACAATGGTGGATGATGGCGGAATTTCGTGGATTGGTTAAAGTTAGACATTAACACCGTTGAATGCCGGCTCAGTGGCATGAATTTGTTTTGGTCACATTCATTCACTTACGCCTGCATTCATTTATAATCACTTTTAAAAGTCAACAGAAAACAAGATCTACTGATGTAAATCTTTTTTCATTTACCACAAGATCAAATATCCATTTTCTGAAATAAAAGATTCAAGACTGCTTGTGAGATAATGAACGAATATTTGTTTCGTTCAACAGCCAATAAAGCGAGATAATATATATATGTATATTTGCAGTTCAAATCACTAGTCAATCTAATCTAGGCCATCATCGAAAATCCGGAAGCACTGGACGGCTGTATCTTCCTAGCACGAAACTCCTCAGCAGTATGCATTCATAATCCCTCAAAAGAAACTAGAACCTAGGAATTTCAACTTTGCTCTTGTTGAATACTGTATTAACATACAAATATCAAGTCCTACGTTCGAATCCCGCGTGTGTGATCGTTGTTGCGCACTAGTGAGGGATCCCATGCTGTGAAGAAACCGCCGTTCAGTGATTAAAGGTTTTCAGTAGTGGTCTAGCTTAGATCAACTTGTAATTTAACAGTGAAAATTCTACAGTCACGACAAATCCCCATTCTGATATACGCATATGTTTGAAACAGTACTGGAAAAACATAAATCACAAGTTCCAAAACGTGTCAAACTATTTTCATAATGGTATGAAAACTTTCACTACAAAATAATGATGTCATAAAGTCATAAATTTTATTGTGTTTAATTTTGGATTAGAAAGTCTATCCTGTCGTAGGATGTATATATATATATATATATATATATATATATATATATATATATATGGCTGAACATAAGATTTATTTTGAATTTAAGAGCAAAATATCTAATATAAACATTTATAAATATTACCTGACAATTTAATGTTTGCTCTTGGTAAAGTTGCATGTTTATCGTTTAATCGAAATCTGTGCAGTATATTCGAATAAACATTGTCTTCTTTACCTGACATTGAACGTGGTGTATTTGTTTTGACATTTGATGCTGGATAAATGTCAACTGGATAACCTTTCAAAAGGAACTCAGACAATGCTTTCGTTACCTTGATATTTTGAAAAATATCTAAATCACAGCCTTTGTGCTTCCAATTTATAGAACTAAATGCATGTGGTTTATTACTTTGTATCGTTGTAAATGCTGAATCTGTATGTAGGACATGTTCAACAGATGACTGAATGCTTTTAATCCCAGTTGTTGATGGAGGCTTATGTACAAAAAATTCATAGGCTGAAAATATATTAAAACATGTATCTACATAAAATGAATTTAACAATATCTTACTACAGATAGAAACAATATTTCAAAGCATCCATCAGTTTATGTTAACATACACAATTTATGCATTAATCGGTGAATTCTTTTTCTTAATATTAATTGACAATTAACAGTACATCTTAAGTAATCCTATTTAACTGTAACTTTTATCCTGAAAAATGTATCACAACTTTACGAAAAAATGTACTATCCTTTCAACTAAAGTGATTAAGACTATTTGTACTGTCAAATTTTTCAATCAAATAACCAATCTATAAAAGAGCTAGATCATCTGTGAAGTCTAGATCATCCAGCTGCATCCAATTAAAAATCATAAAATAGACTTAATTCTTACTATTTTCAAATTCGTATAATAAATAAGACACATCTTTTCTATAAAAAACTTAGAATTTGTTATTATGAGTAATTGTTCATTAAGTCATAGTGATAAACAAAGATAAATTGTAAACAATAGTCAACTCTATAACAAGTATCTAAAGAAACAATTATAGACAGTTGACAAGGTTATACTATATGAAATATAATATAAAGATTAAGTTTGCATTTTATTTGTCTTACTCTATATAGACTAGTAATGATTATCTGTTCAAATCATAGAAAATTTGACTATTTTTTTGTTTGTTTGTTTTTGAAATTATAATAATAAAACAAAATGAATCAGATAATTATGATTTATTTTGAACAATCTGTTCATCAGATCTTTTATTAAATAATTTTACATAAAAGCTGAGCTAGCCTAGTTGAATAAGAAGGTAAATAAGATTTAATAAAAAAGAAGCGATAACTGAAAAGTTATAAAAGAGAGATAATAAAATATAGAAAAGTAAGTTTTACATTAAAAATAGATGAAGGATAACTGAAACAAGTTTAAAGTTTAAATGAAATAGTTTCATGAATTTAAAGTAAAGTTTTCTAAAGAATAAGTCAGTTCTATATCCTGGTAAGGCTGTTTTCTGCTTAAGAGATATACGTTTACCTATCGGATGGTTTTAATGGAAATTGAGTTCATTTTGGCATATCCCTCACCATCTTTGACCTTATAGTTCAAGTATTCTCTTTTTTTAAGTATTAATCCACACACATTCACTTATTTTTTTGAACTGATTGTTTAATAATTAACTTTTTCAATATAATTATATATAATACATATAATTATATATTGATAATCTTGACTTGAACGTTCTGAAATCTGTATAGTTGAAAGCTGTATTGTCCTTCCAGCCAATCACAACAACAAACAATAGTAGTACAATCACGTAGTGGGTTCACTTAGTGGAAATCTAAACTTTTTTCATTACGGTAACCGATAAAAATAAGTAAATGTATTCGAACAACATATACAAACGAACAATGTTATTTGTAGTTTGATCCTCATCAGCATCCATTCTAATATACAATGATATTTATATTCATATCCGAAATTGTTGAATCGATCCATGCCTATACACGAATTCATCTGCTTATGTAAAGAAAGTTATATTGGGCTTACAATCAAACATCTGAGCTAACGAGTTAATGAACACTTCCTTTCGTGGTTGGGAAAGAGTAACGTCAAAACAATACGCCGCTCTTTTCTCTTCGTTTACATTCATTTACACCCCTTTTAAATGTACGCTTTATTGTCCAATAATCTGAATAATTCTTATTACGTAATCTTATAGTTTTTAACGATTTCTATTTCAGTGTCTATTTTTTTTAATCATTGAGCTATTACCTATTATAAAACCTTGATTCAAGCCTTTGTTATTCTTATCACGTCTAGTAAACCTGTCATCACACAGTTAATTTGTACTTTTCATTTGTTATCATAGTTTCGCATATGCATATAAATACTACTGTATATCAGAGTAAAGCCTGATAAGGATCTAACTGAAAACAATATTATTCACTTATATATGTTGTTCTAAATCACAATATGGGAATTTTTCTATATATATATATATATATATATATATATATATATATATATATATATATCATTATTGCTTCGATTTACAGTGTTCATCAATACCAAAATAGAGGTGAACTCTACCTGTAGTAAACTGAGAGATACGAGCAATAAAAAAATGTAAATTGCCATTTTTACCGACTATGTAGGGTAATAGTTAAGTAAAATGTTTTCGTCATAACTAATAAATCATACCATTCAATTTTTTCACCTTTCGGCCCAATAGTATAGCCTCTTTGAAACTATGGAATACGTTTTTATTGGGTTCGTCAACTAAAACTTCAACATCGAGTGCGTTGATATTTAGCTTGTATTTTCCATAAGTACCGAAATTGTGTTGACTTTCAACCGAAAGTGACGTACGAGTGTTCACATAATTGTCAGAAAGCTTTTGTTTAATAAGTTCGGATAAATTTAATGAAAAGTTCAATCGAAATTCACGTGAATAATTGGCTTGTTTTAAATGACACATAAATGTGCCATTATGAAATTCGAATTCCGGTGTTATTGATAATTGAAATGTATTGCCTGTAAAAATGTGAAATAATCAGATTAGCCAAGAAAAGCTCGAACTAAAAACGGCAACAGACAAAACGTACCCGAAATCATCTAACCTGACAATAATGTTTGACTTTGAAGATCACTTAATGTACGTAAGTAATATAGGATTTGAATCAGTAAGGTATTTCACTCTTTCAGATATAGTCTGATGTTCTACAGATTGTATTCCGAACTTTATGATAATCACAAGTCCTTAACAAATAAATCTTCATGTCAGTATTTTCGTAAACCATTCTGACCAATTCATTAAACAGCTAATTACGATATGATTTGTTAAAAACTTACATCATATTCGATAGTATTCATAAGTATTATCACTATTTATTGTGTAATCCACATAATACAAAAATATATACTTATAAGTGATGTTAAAAATAACTATTTTGTTCAAACATATATTTATTTATTGAGGTATTGTTGACATTCCATTTGATTTACTGAGCGTTTACTTAAAAACATTCATCAGCTTATCTTCAGTGATTCTTTATTTGTAATCCATGAATAATCTTCCCAATCAGTGATCAACTATGTAAACAATTCAAGTTAATGTACAGTTCATATGTTTATCAAAATGCCTTAATACATCTCATTTTTCATTATCTACCATTTAAATTATTCTGTTGCATATAAAAAGTATGTAGTCAATCACATGATTATAATTTAATCTATCGTTAATTTGACTCATTAACATTTTCAGTACCCTACATGTATAGTATTCATCATCTAATTTTATTCTGTAAATTTGATTGTTCTGATCGATGTTCGAGATAGAAAGTGATTTGAAATGAATCCAACAGAAAGTATTTCTTCCTTTTGAGTGAACTATTATTATGTAACATGTAAATTACAATTCAGAAACAATATTTCATAGTAAAACATTTTTATCACAGTAAAGAAAATTCTAGTTAGAATTCCATTATGTCAACATTTCACCTTTCAATAATGGATATTTACTTTCAGTAAATAATCATTCAAGTATAAAATGTTTCTTTTTTTTGCATAAAGTTATAGAAAATAAACATAATTTACTGTTTTATGTATTTTGATTATTTTTTAACATAAATGAAACTTTATCCAAATATTATTGTTTCTATGAAGAAATGTTTTAAAAAATGTATATTTTATTCGATATTCACGTGAAGTAGATGTATATGATGTTGTCACTTTTATGTCATTTATATTACATAAATCAAATATTATAATAAAATCGTTTGTTTTTAGAGTCGAAGTACCCTAAACCATTGAGTATATATATATATATATATATATATATATATATATATATATGCATAATTGTAGTACGTTTTAGTGTTTGTCATATTCATGATATCAATGTAATTAACTAAATCACTCAAAATAATAATCCATTTATGATAGTAAAATGCAGTATAATGTAGCATTGCAATCATGTGGTGTTTGACCATAAGAAGTTTTGATAATAATGATAGAATACTGTGACTATTATTAATTGTTACAATTTCACTAAATAAAAAAGATTAGTTCAGCCAAGTGTTCTCTTTTCAAAGCTGTACAGTCGCATATATATATATTCTTATAGGATAATAATAATACTGATAATAAACTTCGGTTAGACATGGTGACAATCAGGTTAAATAAACAAAGGTTTTAAGAAATCATTTTAAAACAAAGAAAGTTTAATAATCGTTTGATTGTTAATGGCTTAAGTATACATGAAAATGAAAACGAATTCGCCGAAAAGAGAACTCTTCAGTGAACTAATGTTTATTATTTAATGTCTTAATAGGTATATTCCGTTTACTAGAAAATTCCACTAAACTTATATAAAGTGAATCCATATTCTGTGTTACAAAAAGTATAATGGATATAATTTTAGCTTAATGATAAATAGAAACATTTTTTTCCAAAAATGCTAATTAAGTCACTATGTCGAAGCAGATTCTCGGTAGGAAGTATCAAAAAGCGATACCGCTAGATTACTACCGTAAACTTATTCTCTAGTCAAAATCAAACTCATTGGAGAGAAAAAGATACAATGTCCAGATAATAAATATTTTATCAAAAAGCTATTTAGTACCGGGTAAAAATTACTTGTTTGTACTCAAACAAACAATGTTTTTGATGTGACCGATTCGGATTTAAAGTCAGATTTCTTATTACGTCACATCATTTTATTCGTAGACATCGACTGCGCACACTGTAATTGGTTAAAAAAGATCAAAATAAGAAAATAATTTACAAAAATATTATATTATTTAAATCAATTCCTTCTCATACATAATGTGAATTTAATTGACAACTGATATGTGTTAACTTACCATCCATACAAATTTTATCTTCCAATGTGTTGCTTTTCGTTTTATTTGATTGACACATTAAACTGTAGTAAGATAAACATACAGGTGTATTATAACAAGGTATACCACAACATTGTGCATCGGTTACATTTCTTTCACCTTCATCATGATTAACACTTATTTCTGTAAATTGAAATGACAGAAAGCAAATATCTCATAATTATCAATCAACTAGTGTATTTAAATGGCACATCATACAAGTATTAAATAAAAGTGAATGCTGTAAGTTAGGTATCTAATATTACTAATAATAAATTATAATTTTTGAAATGGTATTTGCTTTTGTTTCTTGGATTGGGTGGGATTGAATTATAAAGAAAATTATGCACATTTTAGCGTGGAATATATTAATTAATGAATTAAATCCTTTGAAATGCTTGAAAAAATGAGGATAATTGATATTTAATGCAAATATTAAACCTGGTTGTTCACAGTTCTTAATTCATTTTTAACTTTTATATTTGGCTAAGATAAGTTTTTATTTCTTATTAGTTTATTTTCAAAAGTACTCAAGTTATCGTGGATTAATTCGTATTTCTTCTCAGCTATCCATTCACTCGATATTATCTGTCAAATTATGTATCATACTATTTAAATGACTCTTTAATTAAATATGATTTAAACTAATATCCTTTCACTTGACAAATCAAATATCATGTATAAACTCAAATAACGTGCAAATTAGTTATATTAATCGGTTGAATGATTTTTTCAGTTTGTAAACTGTGAAAATCTGTCCAGGAATTTGTTTATTGCTAAAATTACAATACTTGATCATTTGCACGAATTCCAATAGAGACCTATTTTTTGTCATTGAATTTTACAGGAAATAAAAAAAATTTTTTTTCTGCAAACCTGTAAACATTTTATGAGCGTCTAATCAATAAACTTATAAAACCAGTCCATTGTTTATAAATATATTGATTTGTTACCATCAAGATATGTTGACGATTGTGACATTTAATTCTAATCATGCCTTTATTAATCGTATTGTGAACTAATCAATATTAATTTTTAACGCTTAAAAGATACTTAAAAATTGTCAAGTATGAAGCCATTTTACAACTTTTTTATCTTAACATTTATTGTAATTGCACTATTATTTCTCTCACCCTATCTGATCCATATTTATTCTGATCATGGATCTGAACATTTTCACTTCACATATAAGCTGATTCAAATTAACATTCTATATGATTCATATCAACATGGACAATTTTATTCTACTTTTTTTTTGACAATCCTAAATTCACATTCTATAACTAAACGATTCACTTTGCCCTTAACCTGTCCATTATTCGGATTATTAATTTAGATATATTAATTGTAGAACCTGAAGAGAATTTATCGAAAAGAATATTCTTCTTTCAAATATTAGTCTTTTAATATAATAAGGATCATTAAACGAATCATTACTGTATACATTATAAAGTTATGGACATAAAGTTATAAATGAGAAGTGAAACGCCTAGGCTTATTTTATTAGATAACAATTTGAATGATAAGTTATATACCAATATGTTAAAAACAATTTTTTTGGTGAGTAAATCCATAAAGTAACACACACACGCAGAGACATAGAAATACACAAATAAAACTGCAATTTTAAAAGAAAATAAATTTCTTTCTATTGATGTGAGGCATAGCTGTTTAGGTAATGAATTAGAAAAAATAAATTCATACTTTCTCATTTTCCTATTAAATATACAATCATAACAAAGCCAAATCTCACTGTCATTAACTATAAAGAAAAAAAGAATATTTATCATTCAATATTTGTATTTGCTATCTGAAAATAAAACAATAAAATCAATATTCAAACCGGTAATTAATATGAAATATGTAATAAGTAAGAGTATTTGATATTGATTTGTTCTGTAGATACCATTTTTGGAAAATCTTAATTTTGATAATATTAACACTTTAAATAAGAAAGTTTAGTTCAGCGAAGTGTTCTCTTTTCGGCGAATTCATTTTCAAAGATGTACAATCGCAAATATATACTTATTTTTACAGGGTGATAATAATTACAACAATACTGATAACAAACTTCTGTTAGACATGGTGACAATGAGGTTAAATAAACAAAGGCATTAAAAATATTTAAAACAAGGAAAGTTTAATAATCGTTTGATTGTTATTGGCATGAGTATTCATCAAATGATAGATAGGTAAATTATCATTGAGAAAGGATGGCTCAGTATGATAAGATAAAATGATGAAATTGAGATGGCGTACTTTATCTAAAAGAATTGAAGAACATTGTCCGGTGTGGTTAAAAAGAGAAGGCAACAAGTCAATAAGAAGTTTTGTAATCGAACACTTTGTGAACACAGGTCACGCAATCAAGACATACTCTGCGTTCAAGGCCACCTACAAGGTGAGTAGAAGTCTTCCTAAGGCAATTAGACTGCATCTTCTTCGCATTGCCGAAGCAATAACCATACATCTGGGAAAACCAGAATTGTGTGTGCAAAAGAGACTGGTACAATCTCTTCTTCTACCATGGTCTTAATGCAACCAAATTTTTCTCTCTTCTTCATACTTTTGTTCCTTTACAGCCATCTGCTTCACCTTCCATCTTCCTCTTAAATCTTCTACCCCCAACTGGTTTGTTTTTATTTCCACGATCATTCCGATTACATTTCATTTCTGTTTCAATATTTTAACTTATCATGCTCAGCCATCCTTTCTCAATGATAATTTACCTATCTATCATTTGATGAATACTCATGCCAATAACAATCAAACGATTATTAAACTTTCCTTGTTTTAAATATTTTTAATGCCTTTGTTTATTTAACCTCATTGTCACCATGTCTAACAGAAGTTTGTTATCAGTATTATTGTAATTATTATCACCCTGTAAAAATAAGTATATATTTATGATTGTACATCTTTGAAAATGAATTCGCCGAAAAGAGAACACTTCGCTGAACTAATCATTTTCATTTAATGTCTTAATGGGTGTATTCTGTTTATGAAACTATTAAGACTAACAAATATACAATTGAGTTTGCTAACTACTAGTGATAAGTAAATCATTTAACCTTATTTAAAATTTTTTTTTGTAATATAAACAGATAACTTAATAATGTCAAAATAACTGTGTATTTCAATGAAACAGTAATCGGTTTCCTCATAGAGGAAATTCGTTGTTAAGTATAATGAGGAAATTAAAATGACCAATTTCAAATTCATTCAGTTTATTGATAGAATATCAGAATATATTTCTGACTTAATTCAACGAGTTTCACAGATTTTATCGTGTGTTTTTTTAACACTCTAATCCAAATTTTGCAAAGTTTAAACCCATTCAGATTTATTTTATCCTAATTTCTAGTCAATTATTTATTTTATTTAATAAATATGATAATATTACTATTTTCCCATTCTACCCCTTTATAATTCTATGCAAATCATTAAAACTCCAAGGACAAAGAAATATTCTCAAGAGATTGGAATAGTGGTAATAGTAATAATAATGATTAGCACGTAGATGACTATTATTGAGGGTCAACTATTTTGTTGTTGTTTTCTTCAAATGAAAAGTCTTTAAATCAGTAAATGCAAAATAATAAAAAAAACTTACATAGAAACAATTGAATGGAATTTGAAATTAATTTACAAAAAATAAAACTCTAATTTTTCAAGTTGACTACACTGAATGTATTATCATGAGAATACTAATTAACTGATTACATTTAGATTGTTACAGATTATTCAACATATTTACACTTACAAATTAACTTGATTTCCTATTGAGTTCAATGGAATAAAAAAAGTAATAGAATAATTAAAGTAAATTTTAAATTAGTTGTGTTTTCTGTGTGTGTAGAGGGAGAATGTTAAGCTATAAGAAATAAGAGAAAATTTCATTGACCTTATTACATTTAGTAAATCAATTCAGGAAGAATATTTTGGAAATTGCGGTATAATTAAAGGATATGTTAAGAGATGAAATACTAATAACAATGTACTAAATGTGTGTGTTACTTGTTCCGTAGACTGATTATTCGGAGAAAAAAAGACGTTATTCAGATATTAAAAGTAACTCTCTCTCTCTCTATCATTTTTGAGCTGATATTTGTGTTGTAAACCTTAAGAATATCAGCTATGTGTATAATCAATCTAATAGTATTTTATACAAAGTACATCATTTACAGGTTTATATAATGAAATGATATGCCTAGTAAATAGTTTGTTAAAATTATCAATCAGATGTATCTTGAAAAAAATGGCAAAATCCACTAAGGCATCGATTACCATCAAAAATGTGAATTACTCAGTATCGCCACTTTAGATAATTTTTAACTAAAATATAAATGAGATTACACGAAAACTTTATCCAAAAAAATTCCCGATAAGAAGAATAACATGTCATTGGATTTACTTTATCACATAATGATTACACAAAGCAGTTATACTAGAAGGGATTTTCAGGCACGTTAAATAATCTAACTGAGTAAACGATATATCTAATTGGGATTCAATACTAAATTAAGAATAATAAAAAATAGAAGTCTGACTTATACACACAACGTTTCAAGGATGATGCTATAGTATAAAACGGTATCGATTAATCTACTTAGCAATAATTAAATGTTATGTCTATATTAACCAATTACTGATGATTAACCAAATCAGGTAGATAAAGAAAAAACACAGTAAGAATATCTGTGAGCTCTTATGTTGAATGCAGTTATGCATTATGTAAATGTATCGATGACCGAATCTTCGAAGAACTAAATATCAAAAACCTTATTGAGTTGACAAAACTTACATTTAATTTTACCCATGTAATCTAAGTAACCGATATACTATTAGCATTATTTTTAAACGGGCTTTAAATTAAATGGTTCTTTGTTCCACAAATCATCCTGTTAATTATATTAAGCCAAGAATAATTCGTTTTTAATTGCTGAAAATAATGTATTTAATTGTATACTTTCACTGTATCTCTAGACCACTTTCAGTACTCCTGGTCAGATTCGTACTTAAAAGAAATAGTCACTATATTTACAGCTTTGGCAAGTTTAAAATAACTTTTATTTGTCGTTTTTACATTTAATTTGAGAAAATAGTAACACATTCGTATAGTACAGTGATTTTGTAGTGGACGA